GGAGTTATAGGGGCTCTCGTGGCCTATAGATGTTAAGGTGTGCGCCTCTCATTTAATGATCCCGGGCTGAATCCGGATAGCGACGGACTTTTTTTTCTTTAAAATTGTCTCCTTTCAGATTCATGTCATTTCCTCCTCTCTATCAAGGTTCTGACGTCTGCTTTCGTCTTCTATTTCTGCCCCCACTCCCCTCACCTCTGTTGCCCCCTCCTCTGGGCTCCTGACCCTTTCTGCTGCCTTTCCACTGCTGCCCTTTGGCTTCTTCTTACTGCTGTCTTTCAGCCACAGCCCTGATCTTATAGTAGGAAAGATCTACACCGAGCCTTTTCGGACAAGGGCGAAAAATCTTGGAGGTCCCTTGTGCAAGTTGCGAAAGTTAAAAATCCCTTGGTGGTCCAAAATCGATGAGAGTAAGGATCGGACGCCATCGGGGCAAAATTCGAAATTTTCTACCAAATAAAAATGTTTATGGTTTCTCGCGCGCTCATATGACCTTATGCCGTAAAACACTTACCCCAAAAATGGAGATAAATGAAGGGAGGAAGAACGAACAGATATAAACAGACCAATTTTTCATGCCAAAGAAAGAGGAGGGAGGTTGGTTGGGGAGGAGGGAGGGGGGATTCAAACCCATCATAACCATCACTAAAATCAACAGACTACCATCATCTGTCCCCGAGATTTAATGCATCCCGCATAATTTAGCACATTTTGATGAATTTTTAAACATAATTTCTGATTATTTTCCTTAATCATTCTTTGTTAAAATTAACAGAATCGTATAATTTCATATTTGTGGGCTCAGTTTGAATAATTTCAGATTTTTTTCCCCATAAAACCACGGGGACAGCACAATTACAATCCTACCTGGCAAGGAATGCCATCGTAGCCGCGCTGACACTCGCAGGAGAAGTTGCCAGGTTTGTTGAAGCACGGGAAGCCTCCGCACGGGTTAGCGTTGTCGCATTCGTCGATGTCCTCAGAGCAGTTCACGCCAGTGTGACCTGGCAAGGAAAGTTTTAGATTTAACAAAGAGTTAGGCTACTTTTTTGTTTAGTTTTTGAAGAAAGAGCTTTACGGCACTTGCAACACAATAAGGTCATATAAGGGTTTTAATTTTAATAGAGTTTTACGGCACTTGCAACACAATAAGGTCATATAAGTGCCGAAGATAAGAGGTGTTACAAGAGAGTAACAAACAGAAAAAAGGAGGAGGAGAGAGAAGGACGATAGCTTTTGATAGGAAAGAAAGAGTTTTACGACACTTGCAACACAAATAACATTATATAAGTGCCGAAGATTAGAAGTCATTAGACAGTAACATACAAAAAAAGAAGGAGGAGAGATAAGGACGAAAGCTGTTTGATAGGAAAGGTCGAAGTAGCAAGTACCACACCAGAACACCCGCCAACCACCCATCCTGGCAAGCAAAAGTAGTGACGAGCGATGAAGTTAGATTTTACGTTAAAGAAAATATTATCATAGTTTATTTCTGGATAGCGAGACCACGAAGATTGAGTAGCGACGAGAGATGGAGTTAGATTTTACGTTAAAGAAAATATCACAGTTTATTTCACGATAGAGAAACCACAAAGATTGTACGTTTGAGTAAAGACAAGCACATCGTCACAGTGACTGTCACTTCGGGCAAACGGAAAAGTAAGAAAAACAGACAGAAACAACAGAGGGAAAGAAAAGAAAAAGACCAGCCAATTGCGCCCTCCAACAACCATCCACCCGCATTTTGAGAGAAGCTTCACACCAACCACATTTGATCGCCTTTAAGGACAAGCGGGCTAACCCAGATTTCGGGGGTTTCCAGAAATCTTGTCCTACACCAAAAGTGGGCATTGCCCTACCTATAGGAGAAGTTTGGTTTCATTGGTGTGTATATTTGTTTGGT